TTATGAAAAAAATATGAGAGTGAAATTTTAATATGCGCGCGCATCACTGTAACACAAAATTTGTGTTTACCGCACATTAAGAAAATCTACCAACAAAATAGAAATAGAATCTCTATTTAGTGGGTGCTAACGACTGCATTGTGAAGGCCTATCAAAAGTATTTATTAATCTGGAACAACGGAACCAAAGCGCGATTCAGGAGACTACAGCGCCATCTCTTGACCATTGGTGTAGTAGAACCAAAAACTACATCTTTATTTTTCAATGTTACTTTTATGTTATTATTGTAATAAAGTAACAGTTATAGGTATTCATATTTATAATATTTATCCACATGTTTCTAGTTTGTATATTATATACGTGTTTGAGTTTCATACAAGTGCAAATCACATATGTTCTAATAAAATATATTCAGTAGCGATTTTAATTGAATGTTTTGATTATTTATTTATTTTTTCAAATTAAAACTGAACTTTATTGACTGTGTCCTTTTCCAGACTTTTTATTAATTTATTGTAATTAATTATTTGCATGCAATTAAAAACTAATTTTAAACGATGCCAAAGAAGGATAACTTCTCACGCGCCTACATAAGTACACGCACCCATTTTTTTTTATTTATATTTATAATGTGCGTATAATTTTTTTGTTCCAAATCTCTTATAAAAGCATAACCTGCAAACAAAGGATAATATAATAATAAAACCACTAAAATATTTTATTCAAAAATATATTATATAAAGTATAATTTCATAGTCTTTTTTTTCATAAAGATTATCCTAGAAAAGTTCAATCACAAAACATTATTAAATTATAACTTTATCAACAATATAAAAAATATTATTAGCTAGTAGTATAGGTAGCGGCAAACTTCTCGAGCAAAACCATAGACAAATAAACTGCCGCAGTAGACTCTTGAATGTAAAACTAGCGGGCGCCCGCGACTTCGTACGCATGGAGTTAGAAAAAAGGTTCACTGCTCGTTCCCCGTAGGTGATAGCGTGATAATATGTAGCGTATATGTTGATCCGACATGTTAATAATATTCGTGCCAAAGAAGTAAATCCATGTAGTACTTCTTGAGTTTACCCCGGACATACATACAGACAAACAGACAAAAATCCTAAAAACTACATTTTTGGCTTCGGTATCGATTGTAGATCATACCCCATGTATTCTTTTAAACAAATATTCAATGTACAGTTTTGACTTTACTATCATTTAATTATATGTATAGACTAGCGGCCCGCCCTACTACGGTGTAGAGCTGAAGTGTAGACTACAGTTTTTGTTCTCAGGCTTGTATTATACACAATGACATTCATCTATGATTCTTCTTATACCTGCATGCAAAGTCTCAGCCCGATCGGTTTAAACTTGACAAAGTTTCATACAAACTTTCATTCCCTATTTTATCCCCTTGGGGGTAGAATTGATCAAAATCATTTCGTAGCGGATGCCTACGTCATAACATCTTCCTGCATGCCAAATTTCAGCCCGATCCGTCCAGTGGTTTGGGCTGTGCGTTGATAGATCACTATGTCACCTTTCAGTTTTATATATATAGATTACTCCTGCGCAGGCTTCCTTGTCTATGATCATTGCTCAAGAAGTATGCTGCAGGGGTATATATCTAAAAATAGTAGTAAACTTAATTATTTTAAAGAGTATTCGAAGGACGGAAACTTAATTAAATACTAGTTTGTACAGTGCAACGCGGTGAAGCGTTCGTCAAAATCTTATAAAACTATATTTTTTCTTCTTATAGTATTTAGTTAGAAGGAAAATTGTGGTAACTTTATTTCACTAGCATCTACTTAGTTCACTAAATATATCTGGCAGATGCGAATTCATGTGTTTTAATTAAACGTAAGTTATAAGTAATAGTGGGCAGTTTTTAAAAGTAGGCCATAGACAACATACATAAAAAAATGCTCTAAAATTTAGACAGTCACTGGATAATGGCATATTTCGTAGGTAAGTAAACAGTGGGTGTATTCCGAAATATACACCGGTACGCTGGCCAGCGATAATGGCGTCATGAATCGACGCTATGCAAATACACTGAACAGCGCGATGACGTCATGAACTGAGGGTCATTCGCCTAACAGAAATGCTTTGAAAACGCTAACGCTTACGATTTCATTTTGTTATTTGTAGCCGCCTGAGGTTTTCAAATGCCTCGCCCTATTTCTTTTTCTTTTGCATTGGTAATAACAATATTAAAAAAAAATGAGCGTGAGCTATTTGAAAACTTTCGGCGGTCAGCGTTTTCCATAGCATTTCCGTTAGGCGAATGGCCCCCTGGCGCTATATTCAAGCAGTCTCGTGTTTGTGTGCAACGTTCATACTCCAAAAATTATAATAAATTTTAAGGTTATTCAACAGAGCTGATTAGTATTGTAACAGATATACCTGTGGTTGCTTTTTCTAAAGGCTCTGGAGATACATTTAGTGTGTAAATCTTGTTATTCCATTCATCAATCAAAACTATTTTTTCTGTTTATTGAGATTCCCTTATTATCGATTTAATACAAAAAAAGAACTTCTCTAACTGCAGAGCGTCTACACCCGGCTACGTCACAGTATTCTCACCAGCATTATATGGCGGCACACCAGTGCAATATGGCGTCGAAATCATGACGTAATTACCGCTGGCTACCGGTGTATATTTTGGAATACACCCAGTATATTTTATCCACAGAACACAGAAAGAGGTTACAAGTCACAGTTAGTGTCGCCGCACACGGGCCACACGCCACAGCCACAAACGCCGCCACGAGAAGCTAGAAGCGGCTACTAAAGTGGCTGAAGCGCGCGACAGCGGCCGACTAAGGCAAGGGAGAGAGGGTTGGGGAATCGCGCGAGTGACGTGTGGCGGCGTTTTGTATCGGCGCATTAAGTGGCCGGTGCGGGCCACAAGAAGCGAGCAACGACGATTTGTAGCGTGTGGCGGATACCGGCGTATCGTGTGTGGCGAGTCCATATAAAATGTATGAAAACTACAAGAAATATGCCGGTGGCGGAGTTTTGTGGTTGTAGTCGGTGGCCCGTGTGCGGCGACACTTAAGTGTGAGCAGATCTTATCTTATAATTGTGAGCGCTGAATCGAACCACGATTGTTTGATGGTGCCTCGTTTGATTGGCTATTTAGCTATCTATTAGATGGAAGCGTAGTGAGGACAAGCCGGCGTTCGGGTCCCATACAAACGGTATATGATCACCCTTCTAACCTCTTTCCGTGTTCTGTGTAGTGATGACCCCTGTATGACTTTGACAGGGGGACGCTGCTCGTAAATAAGAGTGAATTGAGCTTTTGCTCACACTTAAGTGTGGCACGCCTGTCCCGCCCACAAGGCCCTTTTTTAACCTATTTGTGTTGTGTGGTGCACTACATTGTATGGAGGGGCAGTGGCCCTGAGTTATCCCCACGTGGCCCAGCTGGCGGCGGCGGGCTGCACGTCGCCGGCGGTCAGCACGTTGGACACGCCGCCCGAGGGGCCCGAGGGGAACCCACCCTGATAAATGATCAATCAATCAATTATTTATTTGCAAATACAGGTGATACAAAGGTGTTAAATTATAATACGTACGCTTATTCCACATTTCACCACATCATCATCAGCCTATTAATGTCCCCACTGCTGGGGCACTGGCCTTCCCTATGGATGGAATAGGGAGATTGGGCCATGACCCACCGCGCGGGCCCAGTGCGGATTGGTGGGTGCTAACGACTGCAGATGCAGCCGGGACCAACGGCTTAACGTGCCTTCCGAAGCAGGGAGGAGCTCGAGATAGTAAATTTTTGGTCACCCATCCAATGACCGACCACTGCGAAAGTTGCTTAGCTTCAACGATCGCAGCCGAACGCGCTAACCACTTGCGCCATCGAGCTCCTCGTTATGTCGTTCACCACAAGGCATGCAAATTAAAATAAACACATAGTGTACATCCATTTAAGCCGTTGGTCCCGGCTGCATGTGCAGTCGTCAGCACCCACCAATCCGCACTGGGCCCGCGTGGTGGGTCATGGCCCAATCTCCCTATTCCATCCATATGGAAGGCCTGTACCCCAGCAGTGGGGACATTAATAGGCTGATGATGATGTACATCCATTTACACAGATTTGCCCTCTAAGAATTCCTTAATACTATAATATGCTTTTTTAAGTAACATATTCTTTAATTCAGAGCGAAATATATTGATTGGGGCTTTCAACTTTTCTAATTTCAATTGGAATTTTATTACATACCTGAGATGCCATACAAAGTACAATATTATTCATAAGCCATGTCTTGTTACATGGTAAACAAAGTCTGGTTTCGAATCTTCTACTATTATCTAAAGATATAGACCGTTGAAGGGACGCGCGCGCGGGGGGGGGGGGGGGATCTTTCCTTTGGTCCGGAGGGAGGCACATACACGCCACCAATTTATTTTTTTATTAACTAATTTAATTTTTGTATATATCTAAAAATTTTATTCTATTGTAATTTTATCAAATTTTAAATTAATGTCTACTTTTATTATAATTTGCAGTGCTCTTGCAGGGCTTATGTTTGCGAGCTGTTATTAGATTTAAGAACTAAATGTAACAAACACGAAGCAATAAATATTATGACTATGGACTATATAGCAGTAATGATTAATTAAAAACCAATTGTCATATCTCAGTACGAGATTAGAAGATATATAACCAAGCTGTATATAATATTATATATTGAGGTGTAGATTTTCTAAGCCTACTCAAAGAAAGATTCAGTTTTAGAGTTTATCGTTTAAATTCAGCTTAAATTGATGAAATTAAATTACGTTTGAACTTCGTTGTCGACAGTTCGTGTCGGAGAAAGAAAGTAGACCCCCTGTTGGTACTATCGCGGAATTTTGCGCTCTGTCACTTGGCGAACGAAATGCTTTGAACGGTTTTCTACAGTAGTTTTTACTACGCCCCGCCTTCGCGTCGGACGCGCCAATCCGGGCCGCCGCACAAAAGTAAGACAGAGAGCATTTCATTGATTGAATAATGAATTGAATTGCATTTGTTTTAGTTGCAATTTGTCATCCGCATCGTGATCGAGACAGCGCTATACGAAAAAGTAAGACAGCGATAATTATAATGCGATTCAAATAAGAATAGGAAAGCCAATGACCTCCATCTGTCAAATGTTGCTTGATAAGTACGATTTGCAAAAAAAACCCCGGAACGCTTTTTTAGCACCCAGCTGATTCTAGAATAAAAACCAAACATTTTTATACAAACAATAACAAATGTTGATAATTAATACCTATTAGTTGTTTTTCTTTTTCATTTATTGAGCTTTGGCTATGAATGGTTGATAACCTAAATCGTCAACCAAATGTCATTTTCTGGTGAGTTCAAAAACTGTATTTAAAACTTTCCTTTACATATAGGATACATGTCCGTATGTGACTTGCATGATTATTCATAACTTCTCTGGCGGTAATGCAGAGATGAGCGAAATTAAAAAGCTAGATTCTGATTAATGTTTTTTTTTTCATACAGTCTTAATAAAGAATTACTATTAAAAATCGGTTGTGTTTTTTCTCAACCTTAGTAAATTAATTTTATTTAAAAATCTGATGTTTTGTCTCACTTAATCTTCGTAAATAAGTTTTATTAAATAGCAACATTTTTTTGCTTACTCTACTTATTTGGTTTGAATTGACAGCTATGACGTCAAAATATGGCGCCTAGTCGGTCCTATTCTTAGTTGAATCGCATTATACATGTCTATGAATGAATCTTTACTACGCCGCTTCCGCAAGCGATTATGGCATTATGGGTGACAGAGCGGGTCTTTCCGCGAGTGTACCTGCAGCCAGCGTTGCTTGATGAAGTCGGCGGCCCGTTCCCCCACCATGACGGCGGGCGCGTTGGTGTTCCCGGACGTGACGGCGGGCAGCACGCTGGCATCCGCTACGCGCAATCTGTCCACGCCTTGCACCTGGAGAAACCAAGCCGATTCATGTTAATCATTATCATCTTCATCAGCCAATTAATGTTTGCAGATTTTATCATAACAATAATATTTACTCCCCACACACACACACACTTATACTCACACGCGCACCTACATACACACACACACACTCTCATACACACAAACTGCCCATAATTAGTCGATGCTTACCATACAAACCCTTAGAGCAGTGTTTCCTAACCTTTCCAATACTGCTACCCCTGTAACCCATTAGGAAAACTGATTTTACCCCGACTTTGATGTTTTATCATTAGTCCAAGAAATTCCAATTTGGTCGCTACATCTTCGTCTCTAATAATGTCATCATCAGCATCAGGAGAAAATCTCGCCCCGCTTCCCACACTCAGCACCCCGCGGGCTCGCTAGCAAGAAGAAACGGACTTAAACAAGTCCGTTCGTCCGTCTGTCTGTGGTGCTGTTTCAGCGGCCAAACCGTAAGAGATAGATAAAGAGAATATTTAAGTTATAAGTTAAGAATAGTCTGATAAGACTACAAACCGGATTTGAGTAACGTAGCACTTCCGGTTTTCGAGAAATCAGGTTTTGGTGAACATTTGGTTCACTGGTTTGCTAGTTTTTATATAATTCGCCTAAGATTTTTGTAAACCTTTTTTGTCATTTGTGGTGGGAAATAAAGTTATTTTATTATTATTATTATGATAATGTCCCCACTGCTGGGGCACAGGCCTTCCCTATGGATGGAATAGGGAGAACCCAGTGCGGATTGGAGGGTGCTAACGACTGTTGATGTAGCCGGAGCCGACGGCTTAACGTGCTTTCCAAAGCCCGGAGTAACTCGAGAAAGACCTGTGTCCCAATAGCTAAGATTTTAATACCTTAAAACATAATAAAACAACATAAAAAAAACGACGGGTTGCACTCCAGGAGTGCCGGCAGAAGTGAAAACTTGAATATTAACGTTGTGCATTTTTGATATTTTGGAATGGTTAGGAAATAATTTTGCACGAATTGCTTTAATTTTCAATATAAAAGTACTATCATTTATGTGGTAGAATACAATATTTATTTATTGTGCTATCGTACACACACATAACAATTTATATTACATTAAAAAGTTTATCTCTCAGAAAATTCAACTTACATGAATCACATTAAAGCGCACCTAGCGACATCTATTGTAAAAAAATCAACTTACATGAATCACATTTAAGCGCACCTAGCGACGTCTATTGTAAAAAAATGCATTTTCTTCACAGATACTATTAAATAACAAAATATGAGCCGTAAATGTAGTTTTTTTTTAAACAATAAATGCGTCATAATGTGCTTCTCAATGCTTTAAATGATTGGTAAAAAAAATCAAACGTTAGAAAAATACCAAAACAAGTTAAAGCAAATTTTACATCTTACAAACTTCAAATCACTCTACTGTAAAGTAGGGATTATGCAGAAGTAGCTTTATCCTATGGATAGGTCGATATAGTAATGACATACAGTAACATTTCACCTGTAGCAAATTATCTACGACTGCAAGTGGGTCTCCTCGAGGCCCCATCTTGCAGGATCCGGCCTGATGATTCTCAGGCGCCGTCTGTACGACCTCAGTAACTGGGACATTAAATAGCTTGAAACATCTCACTTTCCTTTCTGCTTCTGAGTCAAAGTCAGGGACGCCGACCTATATAGTAATGACATACAGTAACAACTCACCTGCAGCAAATTATCTACGACTGTAAGTGGGTCTCCCCGTTGCCCCATCTTGCAGGACCCGGCCTAATGATTCTCGGGCGCCGTCTGTACTGCTTCAGTAACTGGGACATTAAATAGCCTGAAACATCTCACTTGCCTTTCTGCTTCTGCGTCAAAGTCAGGGACGACGACATATATAGTAATGGCATACAGTAACATCTCACCTGTAGTAAATTATCTACGACTGCAAGTGGGTCTCCCCGAGGCCCCATCTTTCAGGATCCGGCCTGATGGTTCTCAGGCGTCGTCTGCACTGCCTCAGTAACTGGGACATTAAATAGTCTGAAACATCTCACTTGCCTTTCTGCTTCTGGGTCAAAGTCAGGGACAACGAGCTATATAGTAATGACATACAGTGACATCTCACCTGTAGTAAATTATCTACGACTGCAATTGGGTCTCCCCGAGGCCCCATCTTGCAGGACCCGGCCTGATGATTCTCAGGCGTCGTCTGCATTGCCTCAGTAAGGACATTAAATAGTCTGAAACATCTCACTTGCCTTTCTGCTTCTGTGTCAAAGTCAGGGACGACGACCTATATAGTAATGACATACAGTGACATCTTACCTGTAGTAAATTATCTACGACTGCAAGTGGGTTTCCCCGAGGCCCCATCTTGCAGGACCCGGCCTGATGGTTCTCAGGCGCTGTCTGCATTCTGACGGCGCACTCCCAGTAAGCGTCGCATCCGAACTTGATCTTCTCGCATCCTTTCACTGGCGTCTTGTCCAGTTTCACCCCGTAACGTTTGAGTGCTTTCGTCTCTGACAGTTTGATGGCGAATTTGATGCCCTCCACTAATGTCTTCACGTCGTCAGGGTGGGTAAGGTAACTGGAAAGTTAAAAACAATTTATTATTTTGTGGTAAAGCGAGGCGTGGGCTTTTGTTGATTTTCAAAGAATATTAGGGTATATAAGTTAGTGTCGTTGTTAAAAGATTTTAACTGCTGCTTTGAGTTGTTTTATTTCTTAGGTGCTGAATTAACAACAGGTTGGGGCGGGCTGGACAATTTCACTGCAAATAATAAGACCAAGGTTTGAATCGCGTTTTTTATGTTTACACCTCAGGAAAATGTAGTCTTTATTGCTTCACGGTTAAAAAAATCTACCCAGTCGCCTGACAAGCGCTTATCGTGAGCGTTTTAGTTAAAAATCTATGATGAAACTTTCTTTAGTAAAAACATTGAAATATACTCCCAATAAGGTGAAACTATCACAAGGCTATTTCTTAAAATTTTCTGAATAAATTCACACTACCTATTTTAACTTATTTACGGGAGTGTAGTAGGCAAAATCAAGAATTTTAGATTTTTACTTACTTGGCATATATCTTGGGATAGGCAAATGGATCGGCAGAGGCGATCTCCAAGCGGCCTCTACTCTTGGGCCTCAGCACCGTGGGGAAAATCTGTATGCTCCTGGATCCATTCCCGATCCGCTCTCCTACCATTCCAGTCTTGGCACAATCCGCCAGGAAGCCCCCGAAGAATATCTGAATGTCTGGATTGTCGCCCGCTGGGTCCGCGTATTTGGTGTTGATGAAACCAGTCACTTCAGATATACCTACACCGATAGTACTTAAAATCAAAAGAAAGCCTCTCTGAGTTTGTTCCGCCGGTTCTTCTCAGAAAGGTCTCCCAATTTTACAATAAAAGAATTGTAAATAAAGTACTTTATTAACTAAATTAACTAATAAAATTCATACATAGATAATAAAATTTTTAAAAATCTTCTAATGAAATAACCGAACTCTCAATAAAAGTCTTTCGAAAGTAGCTCGACAAAATTAAATACAAAATCATCATTCTGACGATGCAGACCTGAAAAGGCTGCGAAACGTCAATAAATAAATGAAGTTTCGTGCATTAACCCGTTAAAAACTAGTTTTATTTAAAATCAGAAGCTGTCTTTGATAGATCTATATCATGTGGCTAACAGTTTAGTTGATAAAACACTCGAATATACCACGAGATGTAAGCATGGAACTCTCAAATCATATAAAGTTCAGGCAGGCAACATGAATTCATTTCTCACATAGTTGTGAGAAATGAATGCGTCTTTCTTGTGGTTGGTTCAGAAATACTCCGTTCATTTTCTATTTCTACATCTCAAACTCGGGGAGGGGCTCGATGGCTCAAGTTGTTAGCACATTTGGAATCAGCAATTGTGGAAGTTTTAACAACTTTCGCAAAGGCGAGACACAATATATTGGACGGGTGGCTAAATATTTACTATTCCGTCTCTTACTCCGTTATCTCTTACTCCGTACCGTTACCGTTGATCCCAGTCGCATCTGTACTCGTTAGCACCATGTTATTACCACGAATCTCCCTATGCCATCCATAGGAAAGGCCTGTATCCCAGCAGTGGGGACATTAATAGGCTAAAGAAAGAAAGAAAATTACTTTATTTATTTACATTTTCTAGCTCCTCGAGGTGCTCGATGGCGCAGGTGGTTAGTGCGTTCGGCTGCGATCGTTGTAGTTAAGCAACTTTCGCAGTGGTCGGTCATTGGATGGGTGACCAAAAATTTCTATCTCGAGTTCCTCCGTGCTTCGGAAGGCACGTTAAGCCGTTGGTCCCGGTTGCATCTGCAATCGTTAAAACCCGCCAATCCGCACTGGGCCCGCGTGGTATGTCATGGCCCAATCTCCCTATTCCATCCATAGGGAAGGCCTGTGCCCCAGCAGTGGGGACATAAAGAGGCTGATGATGATGATGATGATGATGATTTACATTTGCTAAAGATGATGATGACACCTCGTACTCACCGGTGCTGGCCATAACTTCGTCGCATTGTCGGTGAAACAAGAGACTTGCCCGCACCCTTACCAGACTTAATAGGGACAAACTCCGCATAGTCATGGGAACCCTGACTGGTCATTGTCCCCTGAACAAGCACCTATACACATTAAGAGTAACAGACAGCCCCCTATGCAGAGGATGTATGGAGGCAGAGGAAACGCCACAACATGTCATTATGGAATGCAGGAGTGTGGCCGACCAACGGGCACGACTTCTCCAGTCACCCGGATCGCTTCCGGAAGATTGCAGCAGTCTGTCAAGATTGCTTTCCTTCTGGACTAACCTAGGCTGGCTGGAGTAAACGGGAATGTTTCAAGACACGCACAATGGTCCAATGATTAGGACTAAGCGCGGAAACCGCCCTGAAAAACTAAACTAAACTATTGTCGGTGTCTGATGCTGAGGATGCCTGTAAGATCCGTAACAGGTCGTTTAACTCACCGGTGCCAGCCATCAGTCCGTCCCTGAACAGAAGGTACTCCATAGCGGTAGCCCAGTTGAGCGGGGCAGTATCATTGTCGTTGACGCGGAAGTTGAGGAAGTGTGCCACGTGGTTGTGCAGGTTGCGGCCCACGCCCAGTAGTGGGACTATGGGAGTAACTCCGGCGCGTCGCAGTACTGCGGGATCTCCAACGCCGCTTAGCTGTAGAATTTGAGGTGATGCCACTGCGCCCGCACTGAGGAAAATTCAGATTCAAATTATCATTATGATTTTATTTATTTTTTAAGCATTTAACTGCTAGATGTTTAAATCTAAAGAAAAGTTTACTAGAAAAAAATCCCAGAAAATGTGGGTAGAGATGGCGCTGCCTTGCAGCTTAAGGCTAGGATGGTAGCATAATGGTCAGTGCATTCGCCCGGATAGCGAAGGATGCGGGTTCGAGTCCCGTCCGCTGCCTGGCCCGCGTGGATTTTTTCTAGTAAACTTTTCTTTAGATTCAAATTATCATTTGTTCAGTTGTTTTAAGCACTTATGAAAGTCATTAGGAGTTACTCCGGCGCGAGGAAGAACCTCGAGAGGAGTTCGATGGCACGGGTGGTAAGCGCGTTTGGCTGCGATCGTTGAAGTTAAGCAACTTTCACAGTGGCCGGTCATTCGATGGGTGACTAAAAATCTTCTATCTCGAGTTCCTCTGTGCTTCGGAAAGCACGGTAAGCCGTTGGTCCTGGCTGCATCTGCAGTTGTTAACATCCGCCAATCTGCACTAGGTCCGCATGGTGGGTCATGGCCCACTCTCCCTATTCCATCCATAGGGAAGGCTTGGGGCATTGGGGACATTAATAGGCTGATGATGAGGAAGAACTGCAGGATCTCCCATACCGCTTAGTTGTAGAATTTGAGGTAATGCCATTGCGTAGGCGCTAAGGATTATTCGAATACAAAGATTACTTAAGTCTGCGAACTTTGGTATACATAATGTTTATGTTTTTATTTATTTTTAAGCATTTAACTGCTAGATGTTTAAATCTAAAGAAAAGTTTACTAGAAAAAAAAATCCACGCGGACCAGGCAGCGGACGGGACTCGAACCCGCACTCTTCGCAATCCGGGCGAATGCACTGACCATTATGCTACCACGGCCCTATTGGCCACGTCGAAATTTTCCTAGCCTTAAGCTGCAAGGCAGCGCCATCTCTTCGCATTGTAGGTAACCCACAATGTCAAATGAATACTTTTTCAAGTATTAAACATTTGAAAGAAGAAATAGCAATTGTAATTATGTTTTTATTTATTTTTAAGCATTTAACTGCTAGATGTTTAAAACTAAAGAAAAGTTTACTAGAAAAAAAAAATATAGTGTTGATAGTTTTATGATATCATCATAAAGTTTCGAGCCGTTTCAAATTCTACCCTTAAGAGATCGTCATGACGCCAAATCTGATGCATTAACGTCCGGGCTAAGTTATAAGCATCGACAATCTGTGGTGTTAAGATCAAGACAGATAACTCCCGTAATTACATAGCGTCTATTAGAGTATCCTCTTTCATGTCTACAACACAAAGATTGGCTGTGAGTTCACTGAATTTGAATCTGTTTTGTGTCAGGTTGAGGCGGTCGCTGGCGAATCTAATGAAGGCCGTTCAGCTAATTATGATGACACGCGAACACTAATCTTTCACTCAAAACGATTTCATTATAAGCGAATATGGTCTCCTGTTCTGTGCCTGACTTGCAGAGCTTATGTCTGGCGCGTAGTCAGTTTTGAAAAGAAAAACGCGAACATTCATTATAAAACATGTCGTTATTAGCGAAGATGGTCTTCGTGCAGTGACTGTTCCTGAGTCTTGACTTGCACGGCATAGGCTCACTGCGCAGTCCTGGCCTAATCCCCCTATTCTATCCAAAGAGAAGGCTGTGCTTCTGCAGTGGTGTCATTAATAGGCTGACTTACCTCAAAATGATTTCATTGTTAGCGAAGATAGTCTCGGTGCCGCCATGACTGTTCCTGACTTGTACTGCGTAGGCCTGCCTGGTGGTCTGGTTGATGAGGATCTTGGTGACGGTGGCGTTGAGCATGACGTGCAGGTTGTGCCGATCGCGGGCGGGCCTCAGGAACGCTCGAGCGACGCTCAATCGAGACCCGTTGCGGTTGGTGGTCTGAGCGATGGAGAAGCCGGTGTGACTTTCGCCGTTCAAGTCGCGGAACTCGCTGGCCGGGTAACCTGCAATATGAAGTGTTATGATAATTTTATCCTGGAAGTGCTCCTGGTGACAGGAAAAGTACAGGGAAGGCAACCGAGAGGAAGAAGCCCCATGCGCTGGACAGACCAGATCCGCGACAATACCAAAACTGGAGTCCGCGATGCACTCCACACTGCTGAAGACAGCAACAAGTGGAAAGCGATCGTTCACAAAATAATTCGTGGAGGTCACGACCCTCAGCAATGAGGAGCACGACACAAGGAGGAGGAGGATGATTAAGAATCGATCATTATAATTTTTTTTGGTTAAAAGTGGGATTGCTACCTATGTAGCTTTTTGCGAGCCACCGATATTTCAGGACTGTTGCAGCGCAACGATCATGATGGATCGTAATTCCATGGAATTACTGTCAATTCAATGATCATGGACTCTTGCAACAGTGCCAAAATATCATGTTTGGGACCATAACAGTGTGAAGCAATATGCCCTTGCTAGATAAGTTTTATTTGTGAAATGCTATATTTTTTTTTAAGTATTGAATTTTCATGTTGTGTTGTTTATATTGTTATGAATTAGGCATGTATTTTTTTATATTTTTATACTTTTGTCACTTGCGTTTTGGAATTCCTATAAGGTCAAAAGAAAATGATGAATAAATAAACGACATTGGAATCTTTCGTAAACTAAAAAAGATAATATACTTACGGTACGATACCACCGCGCCAATGCCGAGAGCCGACTCAGAACAAAGCATAATATCTGTCACGCATACGTCTAAAGTCATATTTATGTAAGGGACACGAGTTGTTGAAGTTAATAGCAGTAAGTTTAAGTAATTATTTTCCACAACGCCGCCCGGGAGGGAACTTTCAGGCTAGTTGCCATTTTGTTATATAAATTATTGAGAGATGTACCTTTTAGTTAGCTTAGTATGCTCTCCGACATATGTGATTTGGATTTGGTATGTTAAAAGTATATGAATACCTATTTTTATCTATTCTTTTTGGAATACAATTATTTGAAAAATATATAATCAACATTTTAAACCCATTGATTCCCGCTTACCTAACTCTTCTGCAGCATTAATGAGACTAACGCAGGGGTGGATGGTAGGGGAACTGCGCGACCGTGAGCGGCGCCTCAGTAGCATGATATCCGTATTCACATCTATCTTGTCTAGCTGCTTATTGTCTTCAGACTTAAGGAAATAGTTTAGCGGTAAATGGTACGGGAACCGCTGCCGCTGACGGTAAGTGTTCACTAGTGGTATCTTATCTATTGTGCAGATGCTCGTTGTCTTTGGGCTTGACGAATAATGACAGCACGTCCTTGTAGGCCCAAGTTAGTTTAAAACTCATTGATTTCCACTTACCTATTTCTTCTGCTGCCTTAATGAGACTGTAGCTCAGCGGTGGATGGTACGGGAACTGTGCGACGGTCAACGGTCCCCCTGTAGCATGGAAGCCACTGTCCATTTTGTCCAGCTGTTTGTTGTCTTCGGATTTCAGGAAGAATGGCAGCACATCGTCGTAGGACCAGCCCTCGATACCGGCTTCTGCCCACGAGTCGTAGTCCTTGCGGGAACCCCGCATGTACATCATGCCGTTCATCACGGATGTGCCGCCGAGTACCTGGTGGAACATGATGTTGGATGATATCCACAAAGTTTTAATGATTTTTAAACCAGTAAAAAGTATTAAAAACTTTGTGGATATATTCAATTAAATTGAAAGTTTGTGGATTGATTTATGACTTTGTGAATGGATGATAATAAAAGACACGAGTGCTGCCACTAAGAGTAAGCGGAAACAGTAACAGTGAGCTGAGCAGAGTCTCTCCTTCCACTCCTTCACCTCTTCAATCGTAGGCATGAGTTTGAGCGTCCGTCTGGAGAAGTTACCTTCCACTTACCTAAGTCTACAGCTAAATAAAACTATAATTTTTTGGTTGTTTCTGCAGTGAGTATTTTCAAAGCTTTACGGTAAGGTAACTGGATTCAAGCAGGCAAGGTGAGAAAGTTCGAGCAGTTCTCTCCCAGACAGGCGGCCGGCTCGGGTTCCGTGCTGTACCCCAGTCGATGCTCGTGTGAAGTAACTTGATGAGACAGCATGCGGTACCTTTCCCCTCAGCTAGTAACAGCGGTGCCCCTCCTCTCCCAGGCAGGCAGCTGGCTAGAACTCCGTGCTGTGCCCCAGTTAATTTCTCTGTTCATCAACCTGTCAACTGGACTCTATTCAGTTCCTTGCTGAGCCAGTAACAGTGGTACCCCTCCTCTCCCAGACAGGCGGCCGGCTCGGGCTTCGTGCTGTACCCAAGTCGATGCTCGTGTGGAGTAACTTGCTGAGACAGCATGCGGTACCTTTCCCCTCGGCCAGTAACAGCGGCGTCCCTCCTCTCCCAGGCAGGCGGCCGGCTAGAACTCCGTGCTGAGCCCCAGTCGATGCTCGTGTGGAGTAACTTGCTGAGACAGCATGCGGTACCTTTCCCCTCGGCCAGTAACAGCGGCGTCCCTCCTCTCCCAGGCAGGCGGCCGGCTAGAACTCCGTGCTGAGCCCCAGTCGATGCTCGTGTGGAGTAACTTGCTGAGACAGCATGCGGTACCTTTCCCCTCGGCCAGTAACAGCGGCGTCCCTCCTCTCCCAGGCAGGCGGCCGGCTAGAACTCCGTGCTGAGCCCCAGTCGATGCTCGTGTGGAGTAACTTGCTGAGACAGCATGCGGTACCTTTCCCCTCGGCCAGTAACAGCGGCGTCCCTCCTCTCCCAGGCAGGCGGCCGGCTAGAACTCCGTGCTGAGCCCCAGTCGATGCTCGTGTGGAGTAACTTGCTGAGACAGCATTCGGTACCTTTCCCCTCGGCCAGTAACAGCGGCGCCCCTCCTCTCCCAGGCAGGCGGCTGGCTCAGGCTCTGTGCTGTATCCCCAATCGATGCTGGACCCGATGAAGTTCAGGAACATGGACGGCACCTGCGCTCCAGTTGGCTCGTCGAAACCTGATATCATACATTCGCGTAAATATATTCGCAAAAGTACGAGTATAACGACGGTGAAGAACCAAAACTACTCAATTACGAAAATCGTAACTTTTCAGAGGCCCAAGCAAGAAATTTGACAGCTCTGTAATCGTATCCTCATTGTCAATTGTGTATGGAAAAAGTCTAGTTTGTTCTTACATCCGGTAGAGGCGCTGCTTAATTTTCATGGAGACTTTGACGATGCATTACGATTACGTAGGTGTCAAAAATTCGTGCTCTGGGCCTCTGGAGAGACAAAAACGTTTCATGGACACTGTCAATCAAAAAATTTGATTGTCATAGTCCAAGAAAAAATATTAAATCAATTAGGTAACTTGGTACACTTACCAGGAGGCCATTCGCCTAACAGAAATGCTTTGGAAAACGCTAACTCTTTCGATTTTATTTTGTTATTTCTGACCGCCTGATGTTTTCAAATACCTCACGCTCAATTTTTTTAATATTATTATTACCAATGCAAAAGAAGAAAGAAGAAGCAGTAATAACAAAATGAAATCGTAAGCGTTAGCGTTTTCCAAAGCATTTCCGTTAGGCGAATGGCCCCCAGTTAGGAATGAAAGAAAATTGAATATCAAAAGGCGTTATAATTTGGAACTGCTACATATTTAATATTGCTATAATGACTATTATAACATGTACATTCTGAGATAAGTACATGTGCCATGGGAACTGTGGGACACACCATTTATTGGTGCTGTCTCCCATAAACATACCTGCTTCTAGCAGCAACACCCTCCATTGCGGCACTTCGGAGAGGCGCGACGCCACCACAGAGCCCGCCGACCCGCCGCCGATCACGATGAAATCGTACACCGAGTCCATGTGACTCCGGAACTGTGGGACACACACCATTGGGAAATTAAACTCAATAGTTTACAAGCAAATATGATCTTAGAACGTATTAGAGAAATTTAGGTACAAGAGATTTTCATCTAGCATGAGAGGATTATTTCCTACTAGCGGTCCGCCCTCGCTTCGCTTCGGTGTAGAGCTGAAGTATAGACTACAGTTTTTGTTGTCAGGCTTGTATTATACACAATGACATTCATCTATGATTCTTCTTATACCTGCATGCAAAGTCTCAGCCCGATCGGTTTAAAATTGACAAAGTTTCATACAAACTTTCATTCCCTATTTTATCCCCTTGGGGTAGAATTGATCAAAATCCTTTCTTAGCGGATGCCTACGTCATAACATCTACCTGCATGCCAAATTTCAGCCCGATCCGTCCAGTAGTTTGGGCTGTGTGTTGATAAATCACTATGTCAGTCAGTCACCTTTGACTTTTATATACATATATAGATAATAACGGTCATTTTTATTACCTGTATTTATAACCAAACTAAAATTCTCATATTTCCGTTTTCCAGTACTCATTTTCTACACGTTTTACATGATTTATTTGCTAATTTTGTTTACAAATGTTTGGTTTTTATTCTAAGATAAGCACGGTTTCTCAATATCAATTATTGTCTGTCAATAAGGTCGAACGTACTGAACGAATATTGAATGAAGCTCGCTTTCTTTTTTTTTTGTTTCCTCCCAGGCGGGGGAGCGGGTGTGAAATCCTCATGGATACCCTACAGCCGGCTGTAGAGTTATGTCAGACTCTTACTGACTAAAACACACCCGTGGGGGGTGCCTATGGCCTTAGGGGCCTTACAGGCTTCATCTGATGCGATCAACTCCTGAGAAGGGGATGATGCAGCGCTGCCTTAGTAAATACTACTGCATAGTGCGCTTAGAGGACGGATGCACCCTGATGTATCGGTTTGGGACTGAGCGACTGAAGGTCTCTCAGGATCGGGGGGGGGGGGGGGGGGGGGGGGGAAGCTCGCTTTCGGACCTCCCGCCTTTTTATACCCTACCGCGCCGCCACGACCCGTGTCGAGCGCGGCAGCCGTTACACAAAAATAATCCTTAAAGCATGATTCAGTATTCACGTGCGACGGCGCGATGGCTTATTTCATGTATAAGTTTGGTGTTTCTATACCGATTTCTATGATTCTTTTTTTATTGAATAGGTAATAATGTTAACTTTTTTAAATTAGTAGTAGTTGAGTATTATAAACGTAAGAGTAAACAAATATAATCAGATTGCTCCGAACTGCTAAGCTATCAGGAGTTACACGTGTTATTGTGAGTCAACCATAAAAGATAGACATATGCTGTTGCGGGATATTTTTTAGACAATTTTATGTAGAATATTTCCGTCATACATGATTTCTATGCAACTTTAACCATTAAGGCTCCACACGCGACGGAAGCTTAAAAAATGGAGTAACTTCTCCCGTTTTCCCAACATTTCCCTTCACTACTCTGCTCCTATTGATTGTAGCGTGATGAAAAGTATACTATAACCTGCCCAGGAGTATGAAGAATAATTGTACCAAGTTTCGTTAAAATCCGTCGAGTAGTTTTTGTTTCTATAAGGAACAAACACACAGACAGACAGACAGACAGACAAAAAATTTACTGATTGCATTTTTGGCATCAGTATCGATCACTGATCACCCCCTGATAGTTATTTTAAAAATATATTTCATATAATTTTTATTATTTTTAAAGCATGTAACTGCTTGATGTTTAAATCTAAAGAAAATATAACTAGAAAAAATTCCACGCGGACCAGGCAGCAGACGGGACTCGAACCCGCACCCTTCGCAATCCGGGCGAATGGACTGACCAATTATGCTACCGCGGCCCTCACGGACCGCGTCGAAATTCCTTCTAGCTATTCTTAAGCTGCAAGGCAGCGCCATCTCTTCGCATTATAGGTAAACCCACAATGTCAAATGAATACTTTTACAAGTATTAAACATTTGAAAGAAGAAATAGCAATTATAGTTATAATTTTTATTAGTTTAGTTAGTTATTAATAAAAATTATAACTATAATTGCTATTTCTTCTTTCAAATGTTTAATACTTGTAAAAGTATTCATTTGACATTGTGGGTTTACCTATAATGCGAAGAGATGGCGCTGCCTTGCAGCTTAAGAATAGCTAGAAGGAATTTCGACGCGGTCCGTGAGGGCCGCGGTAGCATAATTGGTCAGTCCATTCGCCCGGATTGCGAAGGGTGCGGGTTCGAGTCCCGTCTGCTGCCTGGTCCGCGTGGAATTTTTTCTAGTTATATTTTCTTTAGATTTAAATATATTTCATGTACAGAATTGACATCTCTACAGATTTATTATAAGTATAGATAATCTGGGGTCCTTTAAGAGAGGCGTGAAGAAGCATTTTTGCAGGCCGGCAAGGTGAGGATGGTTGGTGTAGCAGTTCATAACTGCTGTACCAGCTATCTTTGCGTTTCGACTTTATCACCACTTAACATCAGGTGGGGTAGAGTCATTTGCCTACGTCGCTATAAAAAAAATGGCTCACTAACGGAGGGAGGGGGGTTTGAAATGGTAAGTATACTTGATACATTAGACTTGAGAACCTCATCCGTGTCCTAAAAACCTATATGAAGCCTATTTGATCAAGCCACTTGCTCAAGCAGCAGGATGGTGAGTGGCTACCATGAGAGTTTCACGTCAAAAAACGAATCGAATGTATGCCTCATAATCAGGGCCGGATTTAAGGCACGGCAAGCGGGGCTGTGGCCCAGGGGCCTCCACAACAGAGAAAGAAAATCGAAATTCAACAAGTTACGAACCAGGAGGGGTTCTGCAAATCGTATGGTACTCGGCCCAGATTTGGGGGCCTCCACTCCTTCGTTGCCCTGGGGCGCCCCCACACCTCTAAATCCGGCTCTACTCATAATTCTCAGCACATAATACAGGTTCGCTGTGAACAGTTGTTAATCCACAACAATAGTAGCGAAGTGTGCAACAATTAGCGGAGACGATGGCTGATGGCATCTCGTCTCGTCATTGTTGTGTCTCGGAGGTTGTTTTTGTGCGCGCCGCAACGCAATTGTATCAAGATTCACTTCTCCAGGAAATGCGCTACGTATTTCGTTTCAATTGAAGACGTATTCATATCATTTGTAAGGGTACTAAAGATATATTTTTTGATTTATTTAGATTTATGTAACGTCGAATCTGTTTTAGAATTTTCATTTTTTATTATTTTAACCGGTTTCGAGAAAAGAGGAATAAGAAAACCGAATTTTCAACTCGCATCATATTATGATAGGTTTTTAATTTCATTTTTTTTGAATAATAATGTCATAATTTTATTGTAGAGGTTTTACGCTATGGCTCTATTATGCTACAAAGGAATTGTGTTACTAAGATTACACAGAATCTATGTTTTGTTAAGTTCATTTTGGTATATAAATGGTAACATAATGAATAAACTTGTTTTATATTAAACATGTGACAGAATTTATGACTTGGCTAGGTATATTATATATGTATATATTTATATTATATGTGTGTGACGCTCGTAGCTTTCAGCCTTCAACGAGTTACCCACCAACTTTCATGTTCGTCGGGAAGAGCTGCGCACGCATCCACACACACACACACACACACACACACACAAATGTATTGTCGTGTGCCGCTCGTGACTCATTTCCGTTTCATCTTTTACCATAGGATTTTTCCATTTACACCCTGTCCGAACATAAATTTCACTTCAAAAGTTAGTCAGCGTCCCCATTTCAATACCATTTAATCTATTTCGCGAGCGGCGTAGTAAATATTACAGTAATGGCTAATGGGGTGTAATCAGCTGGAATGAGTTGTGGTCGCGCTACGAATCCCGAGTTGATCCGATGCAATTTACAGGTTATTATAACGAATAGAGGAAATCACAGGAAAATTAAAACCAACATTTTTCGTTTTCTCAAATCGCAAAAATGTGAAAAGAATAATATAATAAATAAAAATTATAACTATAATTGCTATTTCTTCTTTCAAATGTTTAACACTTTTAAAGGTATTAATTTGATATTGTGGGTTACCCTACAATGCGATGAGATGGCGCTGCCTTGCAGCTTAAGAAAGGCTAGAAAGAATTCGACACGGCCATCAGGGCCAGTCAGTGCACTCGCCCGGATAGCGAAGGGTGCGGGTTCGAGTCCCGTCTGCTGCCTGGTCCGCGTGGATTTTTTACTAGTAACATTTTCTTTAGATTAAAACATCGAGCAGTTACATGCTTAAATACTAAAAATTATAAGAACAATATAACTAATACAAAACTATAGTGTAATCTTAATATATATAAATTACGCGTCCCGTTGTTTTTCCAGGATGGACTCAACTACTTCACCGATTTTAATCATCATGCGTCATGCTCGTGAACGAGTGCTGCCAGCGGAGATAAGACTGCACTAACTACTTTGATATTTAAGATGCAAATGTTTAATTACACCTATTATAAATAACTCTATTTGTATTTATACTGTGTGACAAAGCAATCAAAATGCAGGTGAACAATTAATGTATAATTTCACATTATGTAATGAAAGGTGAATTCATGAATCATCTCTGAAGTCATCTTTCAACTTGACGACTCTGTAAATGTTAAAGCAGGGAGAAAAAAACAGCCCTTGCTGAGTTTCTTGCCGGTTCTTCTCAGTATAAGGTCTCCCGCCGTAGATTTACGAACCGATGGCGTAGCTTCTAGACATTGTAAATAAATATAATAAATATTTCCAACACTCACACCAATTAGCCTAGCCCCAAAGTAAGCACTGTAAGGCTTGTGTTATGGGATACTAGGGTAACGGATAGAATACATAAACAGTACATATTTAAGTATATAGAAATACATATTAAACATCCATGACTGGAGTACAAATGCTAGTATTCATCACACAAACATCTGCCCCCACCGGGATTCGAACCCGGGACCTCTCGAGTCAGCGACACCATGAAACCCGGCGTACAAACCACTCGGCCACTGAGGTCGTCAAATTTTACAATTGTAGACATTCATATATGCTTGTAACAGCCTAAACTGAATAAATGATTTTGATTATGATTATGATTATTATGAATCGAATTTGCACACCGTGTGTAGTTTGATCTAACTTGACAGACAGGATAGCTTATATCAATTTATAAGCGCACTATTATTTTATAGCAAATCATTACTTTTGGGCGGTACTTAGAAGCCGAGTCAGCTAGTGATGTACTAAAGAATGATCTGTACATTATATTCATCGCCACAACCTATTAATGTTCCCATTTCTGGGGTACAGGCCTTTCCTATGGATGGAATAGGGAGATCAGGCTGTGACCCGCCACGCAAGCCGAGTGCGGATTGGTGGGTGCTGACGACTGCAGTACCTTTATCACGTACCAATATCGAATTCGAATAGTTTGCGAGTGCGAAATGTCAAATGTGTACTGATGTTTAGTTCTCGTTACGTCCGTTGTGATGCTGCTGTTCAAGTTTTCATACAAAATTTTACATTGACATTTCGCACTCGCAAACTATTCGAATTCGAGATTGGACCGTGCTAAGGGTACAGATGCAGCTGGGATCAACAGCTAAACGTGCCTCCCGAAGAACGGAGGAGCTCGAGATAGTAAGTTTTTGGTCACCCATCCAATGACCATTGGAAACGTTGCTTAGCTTCCACGATCGCAGGCGCTACTTAACCACCTGCACCAACGAGCTCCTTATTGATTCATCAAATTATATTATAAGGAATATATTTATGACAATTGACGACCTCTGTGGCCGAGTGGTTTGTACGCTGGGTTTCATGGTGTCGCCGACTCGAGAGGTCCCGGGTTCGAATCCCGGTGGGGGCAGATGTTTGTGTGATGAGTACGAGCATTTGTACTCCAGTCATGGATGTTTAATATGTATTTCTATATAAATATGCTTATGAATGTACAGTATGACATATTCTATCCGTTACCCTAGTATCCCAGTATCCCATAACGTAAGCCTTATAGTGCTTACTTTGGGGCTAGGCTAATTGGTGTGAGTGTTGGAAATATTTATTTATTTATTAGTTAGGTGCTTAAAATAAAGGTTAAAATTTACTAACGATGACATCCTTATTTTCATTCGTGGATTTGACGCGTTGATGTCTTTTGTATGGAGATAGACCTATGGAATTTCGGTTATGAGCACAGTGCCTGAAATGCAAGATGCCACTGCTGCAACAATGCCTAACACGCCATTTTGACTAAAAAGCAGACTGCCTAGAATGAAAGATGCCACTACTCCAATATACTTAAAACGCTAATTGACTAAGAAGGAGATTGCCTACAGTATATCGTGACTATAATGTTTCTACTGCTACTGTACTGTCAACCATTAATTTGAAACTTTCCTATTAGTAAATAAGTTACAATAAAAAAGCTGTATTCTTAAAACTAAAAACAAATCTTGTTTTCCTTTAAAATAAAAAGAATACACTTAAACACTCCTTAAATGTACAAAATAATATTTTTTTTAAACTTAACACTGAGCTTATGGACAAAAAAAGGTAAATTTGAAAAATCAAATAACCCGACTGATTATTAAATACTGGAAATAAAAACTGGAAACAAAACTAATTCCATTAGTCTATAATTCTATTAAGTAAGTAACAAAGTTACTTTAACAGTCGGGCCCCATTAGAGATTCTAGAATGGATAAGGTTTCCAGCATGGGGGCAGGACAAAACTGAATGGTACGGAACCCGTCGTAAGCGAGTCCGGCTCGTTCTTGGTTTCTATATCGATTGAGTGAGTAGCATACGCTCGCAACTGTGTACGGATGCAAGGATCCTTTATCCAGGTCGTACTGGCTGCGCAGGAACATCACCAGCAGCCCCATGAACAGCATGAAGACGCCCGCCAGCGTGAGGCAGACACCTATCAGCGCTATCTATCAAGTCAGAAGCACATTCTCACTTGTGTCCTGCCGCAAGGGCACTCCAAGTCGCACTGGCTGCTCAGGAATACCCCCAACAGCCCCATGCACTGTATGAAGATACTGCCGCCGCACGTCGCCGCTAGCGTGAAGTAGACATCTATCAACGCCATCTATCGAGTGAGTAGCACATTCTCATCTGTGTCCTGCCGCAAAGGTCCTTCAGGTCGCAATGGCTGCGCAGGAACACCTCCAGCAGCCCCATGAAAAGCATTAAGGCGCCGCCGTCGCACAACGCCGCCAGCGTGAGGCAGGCACCTATCAACGCCATCTATTGAGTGAGTAGCACACTCTTACCTGTGTTCTGCCGCAAGGGTCCTCTAGGTCGCACTGGCTTCGCAGGAACACCTCCAACAGTCCCATGAACAACATAAAGGCGCCACCGCCGCAAGTCGCTGCCAGCGTCGGCCCTGGCTGCGACATCGGGCAGTCGCAAGTCAGCGCCATCTGTCAAAACAAAAGAATTCACACTTAGGTATATTCTGTATTCAACTATTAAGTAAACAGGTCTAGTACCTGAAAAACTATAAAATGCAAGTTTTAGAAAAGGTAGGGTAAGTAAGAAATTTTCTTTAACCAAAGTTAAACAAACAAATATATAAATAAATATATAAATAAATAAATAAATATTTCCAACACTCACACCAATTAGCCTAGCCCCAAAGTAAGCACTATAAGGTTTGTGTTATGGGATACTAGGGTAACGGATAGAATACATATACTTTACGTATATAAGTATATTTATATAGAAATACATATTAAACATCCATGACTGGAGTACAAATGCTCGTGTTCATCACACAAACATCTGCCCCCACCGGGATTCGAACCCGGGACCTCTCGAGTCGGCGACGCCATGAAACCCGGCGTACAAACCACTCGGCCACGGAGGTCGTCATCTATATATATATATCTTAACTGGTACAATTTTCATTGAAAAAAAAGCACTGTTATCATGTTTTTTTCATGTTTTTCAAGTTAATAGTTTAGTTTTTAGAGGGTGGGGGACCCTACTCGAACATAAATTAGCACTTTAAAGTTCAATATTTCGCAAACGGATCCCTAAATCGAAAAATAGCCTTAAGAACCCCTAAGTAATTTTAAAGGACCTATTCAACGATACCCCACACCATGGGAATGGAAAAAAATAAATCATCCCCAGGTAACATGTAGGGGTGCTACACTTAAAAAAAAATCCTAAATTTTATTCTACTATTTTGTTTGCGTGATTGATATACATATCTCCACAAAATTACATCTCTCTAGTGCTAACAGTCTCCAAGCAAAACCGGGGACGGACATGACGATAACATAAGTAAGGGTTCCTTGTCAGGACTACTGAACCCAAAAAATGTACTTTCATAATACTTATAATCTAGAATGTGGTTAATTATTATACAATCATATTTTTGGTAATAATAGTAAGTAAATAATGAGTCAAGCCAATTGAACAAACAATAGTTAGGTATGTAGATAGATAAACAGTAAGATTACCGAATAATAATTATGTCATACAATAAAAAGGTCAGATGGCATGATACAGTTCTTCACAATTATTAACAGTGTCCCAAATTTACGATAGCCTGTCACACCAAGGCTACAAAAAAACCGCCTCGGGCAAAACACGATACATAATAAACTAGTTTCAAGTTAATTCAAAAGTATGGCGAATCAGGTTTTTCATAACTATTACAAAGATTGCATGTACATACATACACTTAACATTAGAAAGGTTGTTAGATTAAATAAGGTTTATTTATTATACGTAATCTGAAATTGATTCGAGGAACTTTTTAAACTATTTAATCAGTTAAATGGGTATACTTTCTTATGCAATCGTAATATAAATCAGTATTTATAAACAATCAATATGATATCTTCTATCTTTATATATAAAACTCAAAGGTGACTGACTGACATAGTGATCTATCAACGTACAGCCCAAACCACTGGATGGATCGGGATGAAATTTGGCATGCAGGTAGATGTTGTGACGTAGCGTAGGCATCCTCTAAGAAAGGATTTTGATTAATTCTACTGCCAAGGGGATAAAATAGGGAATGAAAGTTTGTATGAAACTTTGTCAATTTTAAACCGATTGGGCTGAGACTTTGCATGCAGGTATAAGAAGAATGAGAACTGAGAACAAAAACTGTAGTCTACACTTCAGCTCTACACCGAAGCGAAGCGAGGGCGGGCCGCTAGTACTTAATAAAAAAGCATACAGTATCACAGTTAATACTGTATGATTTTTTAAAGTGATCCTTTATTGCATCTATACTAATTTTTCGTTAATTTTTAACATGTCGCATTAAATTTTTGTGATGTATGAGGAGCTCGATGGCGCAGGTGGCTAGCGCGTTCGTTGAGGTTAAGCAAGTTTCGCAATAGTCGGTCTTTGGATGGGTGTCCAAAAATCTTCTATCTCGAGTTGCTCCGTGCATCGGAAGGCACGTTAAGCCGTCAATCCCGGCTGCATCTGCAGTCGTTAGCACCCGCCAATCCGCACTGGGCCCGCGTGGTGGGTCATGGCCTAATCTCCCTATTCCATCCATAGGGAAGACCTATGCCACTGCAGTGGGGATAGTAATAGGTTGATGATGATGATGATTACATTGTTAATTGTTATTCAAAAATCAGACCTTTTCAGCAAGCATCCGTGGTTTAGTAGAAGAACATACTCATACACGAGCGGCCATGATTTAATTTTCGGCCGAGGAATGAGTTTGTTATTTTCTACTTTTTATAAGCCAGAATAAACTTTAGGTGATGTAAAACACTTTGAACCCTCTTATTAATAATCAATCATAATCAAAATCATTTATTCAGTTTAAGCTGTTACAAGGACATATGAATGTCTAGAAGCTACGCCATCGGTTCGTGAATTTACGGCGGGAGACTTTGTACTGAGAAGAATCGGCTAGAAACTCAGCAAGGGCTGCTATTTCTCCCTGTTTTATCATTTACTGAGTCGTCAACTTGAAAAATGACTTCAGAGATGATTCATGAAGTCACCTTTCATTATATAATGTGAAATTATACATTAATTGTTCACCTGCATTTTGAACAAGGAATAAACTAGACTAGTTATACTTAAACTTATAAGCATGCAACTTAAAATCTAAAGAAAATATTACTAGAAAAAAATCCACGCGGCCCTGCGGTGCTATTCTATTAAATTTTCACGCACGGATCCGATGTGGATCCGCGCGAATCTGGAGGGGGAGTTTAACATTTGTTTACCCATACAAAAAAAGTGTACAACGCCGCTAAAGAAGTTTTCGGTACTATCAAAACCACATCGTGAACGAGGTGAAGTTATTGGAATAAGAACTTGGAAGTTCAAAAGATAACTCGTGGGCTTAATGGTTAATTTATCTAATCTATAAAGCTATTACTCACTGACCTCATTCAAATGCCCATTGTTGGTAACAAATCAAGGTTAAAGGAATGGAAATACTGTACAGTTTAATTGAGAGCATAGTTATAATAATTTAAAAAACGAAGAGAAACCAGTCATCAGTTAAACTCACGATATTTTTAGTTTATATTGTTCCACTATTGTTGTTTTTATTGTTTCGGGGTTAAAACGGGACCCTATTTCTAAGCCTGTCCGTTTGTCTTTCCGTGTGTCACCAGGTTGTATCTCATAAACCGTTGAAGATCAAGCTAGACAGTTGTAATTTTCACAGACGATTTATTTTTAGTGCCGCTATAATTCAATTCAAATTGTTTATTACAGACAACAAAATGGTCCATCAAATCGTTAGTAACAATATTTAACTTAAATGCTATGTAAGTATATATTATTTCTAGGATTTAATCGATGTGTGTTTTTTTAAATACTGAAATTGTATTATATATAATATAAAAAATGGGTGCGTATACTTATGTAGGCGCGTGAGAAGTTATCATTCTTTGGCATCGTTTAAAATTAGTTTTTAATTGCATGCAAATAATTAATTACAATAAATTAATAAAAGGACACAGTCAATAAAGTTCAGTTTTAATTTGAAAAAATAAATAAATAATCAAAATATTCAATTAAAATCGCTACTGAATATAACTTATTAGAACATATGTGATTTGCACTTGTATGAAACTCCAACACGTATTCCGAATATACAAACTAGAAACATGTGGATAAATATTATAAATATGAATACCTATAACTGTTACTTTATTACAAAAAATAAAGATGTGGTTTTTGGTTCTACTACACCAATGGTCAAGAGATGGCGCTGTAGTCTCCTGAATCGCGCTTTGGTTCCGTTGTTCCAGATTAATAAATACCTTTGATAGGCCTTCACAATGCAGTCGTTAGCACCCACTAAATAGAGATTCTATTTCTATTTTGTTGGTAGATTTTCTTAATGAGCGGTAAACACAAAAGTAACAGCATGAAGTTGGTCGCTAAAGCGACCAACTTCATGCTGTTATTATTTTGTGTTACAGTGATGCGCGCGCATCTTAAAATTTCACTCTCATCATTTTTTCAAAACGCGCCTAAAGAAGTATAACTTCAAAAAGTAATCTAAAACAAATGTAAATATAACAAAAAAAAAATATATATAATTCTTATTTAGGGGGTGCTCCAATACAATAGACGTATTTTTTTTTTGGCGATGTTTTGATTTTTTTTTATTTTATTTAGATATAATGTAAAAGTTCGGTACTTATTTACCATGACATAACATTGTAACATTTACATTTAAAATTAAACACATGAAGCATTTTTTTTATGAATTTTTCAGATGCATTTAGTAGTTTTTTTCAAGTCAAGCTTCATTTAATTCAGAAGATTAAAAAGAAAAATTTAATCATTTAGGAGTTCAGTATTTCAAAAAAATATATAATAGATAAAAAACTAATTTAAAAGTTCATAATAAATATTTATTATTATTGTTATGTAGTAAGCAAGCACCAACCTACTTTAATATTCATGGACCTAGGATTTTGCCAGGTAATAATTATCTTGCTGCTAATGTGTACAATTTTAATCAAAACAAACACGCAATATTGTCAAACGTCAATTTTAATAACTGTCTTCGGAAGTCTTCACGCAATATTGTCAAACGGCAATTTTAATAACTGTCTTTGGAAGTCTTTGCAATAATGGCGCTATAACACTTCGACGTTAGCCCGAAAACGAGTTCCAATGGAATTCGGGCAAACGATTAAGGCCCGTATTATTATTTTTTTTTTCTTCGGAAACTTACAGCTGTTATTTAAACATGGTATCTAATTCAGTTAACTACTAGCTAATAACAAGTTTTTACATATAAAATTATAGAAAGATTCTCAGTAATTAATCTAGTCTTGAGCATGTATATGTCATTTTCTTGTCTTTTCCGTTTAATTTTGAATGTGACGGATTTATTATACCATATGTGCGGGCGGGCGCTGAATGCCGTAATACAGTCATTTTGTCTAGCTCGGCAGCAGAT